TACGAGCGCAATCGGGAAAGGCCTACTTCGTGTCTACGCATGAATTCACACGTCAATCAAACTTATCGTTTTTTCAATGGTTTCCTTTCTGATTCTGTTGAGATCACTTCGTGTGAATATACTAAAAAAATTATTCACCTCAGGCTCAGTTAATATTAGAGACCTTTAGCATCAGGTTTTTCATGGGAAACTGCAAACCGCAAACTGCAAAATGTCACGTGACCACGATCTTGCGGTCACGTTTGCACTTTGCAGTTCACGTTTGAACCGCAAAAAGGGCTTCGAGCGGTAGCGGTTTGTATCCGTTTGCGATGTGTTTGTTGGATTTTTGATCTAGAATCAATGAATTATTGCTGATTTTTGGGCGATTAAAGTGATGTACTTCGACTTGATGCAAAACAACATGGCGGCCCTAAACAATGAACGCGTAGTTCAAAATCGATTTTACATTCCTTTCTGCCGTACTTACAAAAGAAAGTATTCTTTTACAATCCAGAGTTAATTTTTTTTTTCTATCTTGTTACTAAATTCATAACTTAACTCAGTCTCTGTTTAGTTCCTATTTGTAACGTATCACTCCGCGAATTTCATTTTATTTTGCTTATTTCTTTGAGACTGGGGATCCCAGGCTTCATAAGCCTTCTGGTTTCTTCCGGGCTCCCTTGCAACCTTACAATTCCTATATGTATTCTTGTATTGTACTATATTTTGGCTAAACGAAAATGCAATGAACTGAACGCCTTGCTAAAATTTGAAATCTCGGCAACGCGAAACCGCAAAAGGGTAACTACAAACTGCGGTTTGCGGTTTGCCTAAAGCTAAAGGTCTCTATTGTTGAATGATCCCCTCGACTTCGTCTCGGAGATTATTCAACAATATTAACTTCGCCTTTGGCGAATAATTGTTAAATATAAATATCAACAGGAAATATTAAGTGTACAAAAGAGCCATGCGCACAATCTCACAAGGTCACAAAGTGCACCAGTGTTCGGTGTTCCACGTCAAATGCTGTTGGCAAAAGGCTTTGCAGAGTGGCCGTATTAGTAATATAACTGTGTATAAAGATTTAGACACAAGATACAAACAAACAAAAAAGCTTAAACAAATAACTTATGACAATGTAATAAGACGTAAAGTCCGCGTATATAACCCTATTTCCTCCTCGACGTGTTAGTCCAGTCCAATTATTTTCCGCGCAATTATGGGGCCTGGAACGAACTCTAGTAGCGTCACCTCGTTCTCTCTTGGTAGCGTTTTATCCCGAGTGGATTCTCGATTTTCTTCGCTAAAAAGTGAGCCATTCTTTTCAATGCATCTACGTTAAACTGAAGAAGTAAATTTATTGATGTATGGCGATTCAAAGCCAATTACATCTAACAAAGAGCGGAAAATTTTTGAATGTCACGAAACAACCGTGTCATGCTCGCGACCAGCAACGCGTACCAATACTTTCATCACAAGCGAGACAAAATATGCCGTTGGAGGACAAATGTTAAGAAAACCAATATTTGCGTTCGACGAAGGAAAACGCTTACTATTCGTGTACCGTACAAGACATAGTAACCGTATCGCATGCCATGCGATTTTACGGTTTAAACGCCATCTTGGACCGGCCTTGCACACTTTACCTCGATCTCATGTGTTCAGTTCTTTTCGCCCGGTGAGCTGGTATGTATTTTGTGACACTCGTTCACAAATGAAACGTTGGCAATGTTCTGTTCATATCACAGGTTTGTTCATAGTTTTTCTCGCATTTTATTCATCATAGGAAAATTCCCTTTCTTAGATAATTGGAAATGTAGATATTACGTTAAAAATGTGTTTTGCACACTGTATTTGTTTTTATGGATGCAAGCAAGATCAGCTTAGATCGACCATATATTTGATTCTATTACAAATTGCACCTTTTCGCTTTTAAAAGCTATTTACAGCGTGGCATTTGCTTTTGTTTCTCACCATTTTTGTTGAAAAATATACAAGAAGTTGAACTGTGAAACGTTGACCTTTTCATCTCACTAATTCCGGGGTCGTTGTATCTTGAAAACAGCGCTGAGTAGGTGAGTCGTGTTAGCCTAGTGTCACACTACAGGGGTTTAAAGTGATACGCAACGATTAAACTTTGTTCAGATAACTTTAATTTTCTATATCCCAATTTTTAGCCAATTTTATTGATCATCCTATAGTGCAAAGGAATATCCTGAGGATCATAGTCAATGTTTGACCTGTTGTTAGTTACATGTACTTTACTTAGAAGTTTAGCCAAGTAAATGTAAAAAGGACTCTGTGCTAAAATTATTCTCGACAAGAACTGCTTTCGCTTTCCTTTACTGTCATTGCTCTGGATATGTCGACCTTATTTCTCGTCAAGTTTGTTTTTTTTCCTCCGCTGAAAGGGACCTACACAAAGACTTCATCAATCAATAAAAGCACTGATCATAAGAGCGAGGACATCTTTTGTTGTTGTTCGATGGATAGCCGCTCTTTGTAGGTTTCACTTGTGGCTCGTTATGGACTTGCAGAAGTGGGAGACGTGTAAAAGCTCTTCACACACTCACAAAAATATTCTAATGGTTTAAAAACTTACTCCTGCAAGGACTTGCAAGCCATTAGAATAAGGTAAACTTTGTTGTTGTTGTTGATGATGATGATGATATTACATAATCAGCTCGACATACAGAAGAATTAAGGCCGATACACACGAGGGGTTTGCTCCCGGAGCATGCTCCAGGGGCACGCTCCGGGGCCAAAGCTCCTCCGTGGGTACCAAGAATTTCATGGGTATACTTCATCCTCGGGAGCAGAATTTCCACCCCGCAAAATGCTCCACGATATTTAACCGGTTAAATGTTTGGAAGCAAGTTCCTGGGGCACTTTGAGCGCACTTGAAAACGCTCCCTCGTGTGTACTGACACTTTTTGTTGCGCGGATTAATACGGGCAAATGTAAAATATTAACCAATCAAATTAGCCGGTATTTTCATCCACAATTCCTTTGGAACCCTTGACTCGCGGTCAAAGTTCAAAACGGCGTCGACTAAAAGTGTAAAAGTTGATGAGCTCGAATTTTGCGTATGGCATTCTCATGTATTCACAAAATATGTCTAAATCTTTCACGGACAGTTCTCGAAAAATAGTATGAAAACCCCTTTCTCCTGTCTTCTCTGAAGCCACAGGCAAGCCCAAGTTTTCCTGGCAACTTTTTTACTAGCTATCATCATCATCATCAAAACAATCAACTTTTTCTGTTTTGATCTGGACCGCAAGGACGTCGCCATGTTTAGCTTTGAACTAGTTCCTAAACCCTCATCTAGTGAATATCAGCTATCCCACACCACGTTTCTTTCGTTTGCTCCCACGTGTGTACCATAACAAGAGCTAGCTCCCGCAGTATGACCCCTCGTGTGTACTGGCAGTGCTAAATGAGCGTGGAGCATGTTCCGGAAGCAAAACCCCTCGTGTGTACCTGCCTTTACAACTTCGTTTAAATTTGTAAGAAAACTTCGGAGGAGAAAGGTACCATTAGATAATTTCAAACCAAAATTTGTAGCATTTTTGTATGGCATTTTACAGCATTTTTAGTATTTCGACGGTAGAAAACTCTCGAGATCTTTTTTTTTTCCGCCACTTTGTGCCGAAAGAATTTTTTTTCCTGGCGAAAGTATTTATAGCATAGCACACTCAGCATAAACGTTTTCTCTAAAAGGTCAAATTAAGGTATGTGAGCTGATAAGCAAGGTTGAATGAACCATTCAGAATGCTAGAAATGCATTATCAGAGGTTGAAACTCTTATAATTTAAAATATAGTTGGCTAGTAAAATATAATGACACTTTATATTTTTACTATCTTTCCTCTATAATTTATATCTGATTAGTTTGATTAGTGCGTTAGTTGATTAGGTCAACAAGAGATATTTTAAGTGGTTGACTCAGAAACGCTTATTTAGCACTTTTCACGAGCTATAAAGGCGGACTGGTACATGGCTTTCACCACCAAGGCTTGCAATTGTTTACCCTTAAATAGCATTCTTTCTTCTTCAAATTAGGGAAATTAAGAACAGTGGAACCTCGCTCTACGGACACCTGCTTAATACGGACACCCGCTTTATGCGAATAGTTTCATTTGCCCCGACAAAAAGTTTATATATTTTCTCTAAAATTAACCCGCTATATACGGACACCGGTTAATACGGACAACGGAC